ATATATAATTGCAGAAGTATAAAGTCAAACTTTTTTTTTAAATAAACTTGAACAAAATCAATTGCACAAACATATACATTTCATATATACACACATCTTGTGCAATTTTATATTTATAATTTTATTTGTATTACGTTTATTAAAAATGTATCAAGATGTTTCTTTCTTCAGAATTTGGCGCACACACATACATACATACATATATACACACACACACACACACACATATATATACATATACATATATATATAAATGCAAATGAAAGAAACAAATTGTTCAAGTATCAGGGAACATCCTAATACACTTAAAATGTTGTTTAAAAAATAAAACAAAATAGTGATGTAGACATTTGACACATTAGCTTTCTCTTCTTTCTTCCTCCATCCCTGTCAGGGGCAAGTTGTAGCTACCTTGTAATGCATTTTTCCACTTCTTTATCAGTGGCGTGGTATGGACATTTGTCCTCACTCCATCTGTGATTAAAAGATAAACAGATAATTAGTAGTGAACAAGTACTAATGTAAAAAAAAATAAAAAATTAGGAAAAAAGTAGGCTACCTACGAAGCAAACAAATAAATAAACTTAAAACACTTTGAAATTAGCAAGAGCTTGAACTTACCAGTTTCTTCATTTGTTCGGGCTGCTCCTTTAGTTGATTTTCAAGCTTTTCCAAATCAAATTGGCCAAAGGAAGGTCAAATGTGTTTACATGTGGAATTTCATCATGTCTGTTTTGGTTTTGTGAGAATCAGGCCCAGCTGCTGCTTTATGACGTTGTGTGATTTTAAAACTTCAGTCAGTCGTGCTAAAAAAGAAAAATAACAGATTAGTATAAATCAACCTGTAGCTTATTCTCATACAACTTCTGTAAATACAACAGTGGGTTAGACACTGCTGATATTCTCTAGTTGATCTTTACTTTCTAGCTGCATTAAACCTTAACAAATTTAGTGATGTCTTCAATTCTTACAAAGACATCACGAGATGCAATAAGTTCTGTCTTGATCTCAAACTGCACTAGAACAAAGACTGTAAATGTTCATAGGTGTACCGAGGGCCAGATGCAAAAAAACAAACGTTGTCGCGGGCCAAATTTTACATACATCACACAGACACGTGTGTGTGTGTGTGTGTGTGTGTATATATATATATATATATATATATATATATATATATATATATACACAGTTGAAGTCAGAATTGTTAGCCCCCCTAAATTATTAGCCACCGTTTATTTTTTCCCCAATTTCTGTTTAACGGAGAGTTAAACATTTTTTCCCACACATGTCTAAACATAATAGTTTTAGTAACTCATTTCTAATAACTGATTTATTTTATCTTTGCCATGATGACAGTAAATAATATTTGACTAGATATTTTTAAGACACTTCTATACAGCTTAAAGTGACATTTAAAGGCTTAACTAGGTTAATCAAGTTAACTAGTCAAGTTAAGGTAATTAGGCAAGTTATTTTATAACAATGGTTTGTTCTGAAGACTTAGGGGCTAATAATTTTGACCTTAAAATGGTTCATAAAAAAATTTAAACCGCTTTTTATTCTAGCCGAAATAAAACATAAGTCTTTCTCCAAAAGAAAAAATATTATCAGACATACTGTAAAAATGTTCTTGCTCTGTTAAACATCATTTGGGAAATATTTAAAAAAGAAGAAATAAATCAATGAGGAGCTAACAATTTAGACTTCAACTGTGTGTAGATAGATAGACAGACAGACAGACAGACAGACAGACAGACAGACAGACAGATAGACAGATAGATATATAGATCATAACAAGAACTGCTGCTTAATTGAATGCATGTAATAGCGACACCCGGTGGTTATTTATTGAATTACGTTCATTTTTGTATAGCGGGCCAGATTCTATTGATATTTATAAAAAGCCTCGCGGGCCGTAGTTTGGACACGCCTGGTGTACTGGAATGTACAGTATCTGTGCATCTTGATGGTGGTCTTAAGATTTCTGCCATAGTCATTGATGGTGATGGTACTTGTGGTGCTGCCTTGACTTCTGAAATCTTCATACCTGCCTTTTATCCAGCCTCTTTGTTCCAAGTAATTTTTCTTCATCACGGTATAGATGTGTCTATACTGTCCCTTGATCAGACACATTTACAAAACAAAACATCACTTTAGTATAGTGCCAGGGCAAAACTCACAGGTTGTAATAGATCAATGACATAATGTTGACAGTATGTGTTTAAAATAATTGCAAACAAACCTGTTCTGTCTTTAGATGTATGACAGGCGATCATCATCCTCATCTGTCTACCAGTCAGAAATCACAGTTGTGTGTGGATGTTTGAGTCGAGCTTCCTCATATGCATCTATAATGAAATATCACATTGTTGTTAACCTCCCGTAAAGAAAAGTTCAAATCCTGAAATACTATCAAAGTTAATTAATGCATATAATACCTATAGTGTAAATAATCAGTACACAGAAGGTTGCACAAGATTTATTCGGAGATTCATGCAGAGTGACAGCCTTATGAATCTGAGACATAGATTTGTAAGATGGCCAAGCACATGCATTATTCTGTACCCATGAAGATTAACCTACCTTTGTGAAAAATGTTTGATGATGATAGCCAATAACAATAAACCATTTCAGCTGTTTGTGAAGCAATTAGTAATGTAATGTCTGAAAAGCTCAATCTATGTTGAAAATGTATCAGCAGTTTACAGCTTATAATGGACTTTTAGCACTATACCATGTTAACTATAACATGCCTATTCACGTTCAAAAGAGTGTGCCATTGACTTCTTTGGTCGTGATGTGCTGCAAAATGATCTCACTAACCTTTGTTAAACAAGAACAATAAGACTTAACCAACAAATATTGTTACCCATTCATTTAAATCAGAATTTATCACTGTCAATAACATAAAAAAAAACAAAAAAAAACAACAACATCAAAATCTGCTTTAAGACGTTCAGTTTTACATTAACTGACCATTACAGCTTGAACAAAAGATATAATTGATTCACATAGGCTAACACATATGAATTAAGGTGCATAGTAATATATTTCTCTTGGATAATTTAAAGAGAATAGTAAACAGTCGAGTTTCGATCATTTTTCGTGACTAACTGCATAAACAAGATAAACAATAATATTTTATTAATCCAAAACTATTAGTTTTTATTTACACATAATCACAGAATTAATACTGTTGGATAAGTATACGCCTGTACAATGATTTTTTCAACATCCACGGTACTTTATAATGTTAAATCAGGAAAAAAAACACGTTTTGCCTTGTTAGTTAATGGATTCGTCTACAGAAACTTTCTTTAACGCAAAGTTAGAATACACACAAATTCGTTTCATGTTTCTTTAAAATAATTAAAATAGTTTTCAGTTACTACACACGTTACAATCTAACATTGTGTAAAAGGAAAAGGAACTTTCCGACGTGTTTGTAACTGTTAGCGTTAGCATACATTAGCTCCAGTCGTGTTTCTTAAAGCAAGTTACATTTCGTATCAAACTGTTTTAAATTACTAAACGCTGTTACAACCAAACACCGTGGAAATGTTTTAAGCTCTAAATTCGCTAATTATACAGTACACAAGCAGTAAAAAGCTTACCTTTCTGACCGGAATCCACATGAATCTTTGAAAAATTAAACTTTTTCTTCTTGTGATCTTCGTGCCATGGTGGTTGACAACCAGCTTTTTGGAGCATTACCGCCACCGTCTGGATGGAGTTTGGATCAGGAGTTTAGTAACGCATGTGTTTATTATGAAACTTCTGCTTTAAAAAAAAAAACAGTCAGCACAGGAGCGTGCTATCTCAAAAATAAGCGAATTTTACATAGTTTTTCTCTAGATGACATGTATAATCTATTTATAAATAATATTGTTTTGTTTGCGTCTAAACATAGCGACCATCCACACTAAATATTCTTTTTTTTTTTTTTTTGCTATCGTACCATTAATATTTTCTCAAATTAGCATTAAACGTGGAGCTAACAGATTACTAGATAAAATAAGAACTTAATCGGTTGCCATCAGCCTTAATCGGTTGCCATATGGTTGACCGGAATCGGGCCAGTGCTTTACAGCCGCATCACAACCGCATGTGCGCGAGCGAGCTGCGGGCCGCACTCGGCCCGGATAACACTCGCCGATGCCGAGTCGGAGCCGGAGGCGCCGGAGGGCAGCCGAGCTCGGGCCGATTACTGCCTGCTATCTGGGTAACTACAAAATCTTGACCAACCCCCACCCCCGTCAATGTATAATTTGCACCCTGCCCGTAGGCTATACAGAAGACTGAAAGTTTATAACAACATGTTCATTACTTTTGTATTTTTTTCCTTATTAAAAAGTAATAATATATGTAATAATATAAGGCTCTGCCTTCTTCGTTTATCTCTGTTCCTCTCATTGTGTGCGGGATTTAATGTTGTCAGCAATCATTTTTAAAGTTAATTAACTTAATTTAAAAAAGTAACTCACATTCCATTTTTTTTAAAAGTAACTCAGATATTGTTACTTAATTTTGAAAAGTAATGCGTTACTTTACTCGTTACTTAGAGAAGTAATATTATTATTTAACTCGCGTTACTTGTAATGCGTTACCCGCAACAATGCATGTAAAGCATATTAAAAGATTTTACTGAATGCACGATAGTATTTTCTCTCAGAAACATTTTAATGAGGGAGAAATAAGGCTGTTACACTTTTACATTGATTAAAACATAATTTCGTCTTAAATCTGGTCTCATAAAAAATTATCAAGCAACGCTTAATAATCAACAACTGCAAATAGCGTAACATTAAGTTAGTTTCTTATGCAGGAAAAAAACCTCTTGTCTGTTTTGGTCGCGCCTCCGCAGCGAATGATCTAGGATCAGCTGACTGCACGGTAAGAGCTCTCGTCGAGATCTCGCGATGTTTCGCTCAATGCCCGCTTGACCCTGCCCTGTGTCTCGCGCAGCTCCGTATATAAAGGCGGAGGACTGGAGAAGACGGACGGCTGGGGAGCTGCAGCCCTGGGACTGTGAATAAGACCGTAAAGAGCTGTGTTTTTATTTCCCGAAACTTTAACCGTCAACTTTTTAAACGTTTTAGATGTTTCCGTGCTTTTTTTAATGCTTCTGGGGCTCCTTGCTTGATATTCGCGGTGTGTTTTTCCCCCTCACTGCGCTCATAATGGCGAGCTCGGCTAACTCGAACCAAGTGGTAAGGATCAGACAAACGGCACTCATTCTCGAAATCACACACGTGTCCAAGCATTGTAGATATATATAGAGAGAGAGATACGCAGAACATTTTAACCAAACCCACATGTTTATTTCAATAATAAAGCGTTTAGACACACGTACACCTATCAGGTCTGCTCCAGTCGAGGTCTTTGTAGGGAAGTGTGTGAGTGTTTGCTGATTATATAGAGAAAGAAAACAACACGGTGGCTTAAATCCACAGCTTTAAGTATTACGTGCTAGAAATTGCATTTCTGTTGAGCTAACACGGACTTGCTGCTTTGTTGCCGTGTTTGACCATTCAGTCATCAGAGTATACGTCGATATTAGTTTGTTACTAAAGCACCCTTTGATCCCGACAAATGCATCTGAAATTGAGCCAAAACGGCTCGTTTTTGTATGTATATCAGGATATAAGTTTTGTCCTGCGTGTTAAAAACCTTCCTACATAATTTGAATCTTAATATTCATCCCCCAAAAAATATATAAAACTGAATCCCTTGGTTATAAACCCTCATACGAGACGTTTTTCACGTTCACGGAAGCCTCCGCAGTGCAGGCGATGCTGTTTCATCATGGCTACCGTTGCCTCTGACCCTCCTTCTTTCCGTCGCTGGTTTTATACAGCCATAGCGACGCTCTAATATAGACTGCCCGGGATGGGAAGGTGCTTCTCGGCGCTACGTCACGGGCTGTGCATATAAACGCCAGACTGCGCTTTAAATAGTGAGCGGACCGGCCGCGCAGTACGGACAAGACGCGATGCGGGGAGCTGCTCTTCGCTTTTAGCGATACAACATTAACGATGGTGTTTATTAGACAGAAGGATTTTTTTTGCTCATTCCGCGTCGACAGCTGCCGGAAGCGCATGCGTTTCAGGGTTGTTTTTCGGTTTCATCGCACGCGTTTATCAGAGTTTTAAAGGGTGCTGCTATTTCTGTGCTCTCAAAACGGATGATTTGCGTTCCGACAGTCAGCAACCGCAATGGACACGTTAAAGAAGCCCATGTGTGTATTTATAGGGCTTCCAGCGGTCCAAATGCTGAACGGGACGTCGGACTAGTGTCCGCGGATATCCTTTGAACGATTCATTACAAAGAATCGCTACAAAAACACATCGGTGTTTTTGTTACGTAGTTACGTCATGCATTGTGTTGTTTGAATCCCTGAAGTGCTTTAATTAGTACACTACTGTTACAAACTGTACAATAAAGACAAGTGTAGAATATATTTGTTTATTACCCCTTTTTTTGTATTTATCAACCACCAAAAGTCTATAGGCACACATTTGAGTAATAATGTATAGATACAAGTCGATATAGCTGTGTATATACACGGATATATAATTGACTATATGGGGAAAAATGACTGAAGTTCGTATTCCTAAGTTTGCCTGGACTTCATTTTAAGTGATGTTTGAGTACTTTTATTCTTCTTCAGAAATGTCTCGACTTTTTAAAAAAGCAAAATAACAAAAGTATACCATAGCAATTCTATGCAATGTCAACCTTGCCATGAAAATTTAAGCTACAACCAAAATAAGGAAACTGTTTCTACATTTTTGGTTTAAGCAAGTATATTACAGTACTAAAAAAAAGTTTGTCTTTGTTTTCAAGGTGTTATTTGATTAAGCAAAGTTACACAAGTGCCAATTTTACATTTGTCATATCCATAACGGAGATGTCACATCCATAATGAAGCTTTAACCCTCCTAAATGCTAAAACGTCAAATAAAAAAAAATCAATCATGTTTGTTCTATAGTGAGCCAGCTCTTATCCTTTTGATTACCATTATTTCTCTTGGGTTGTGCAGTTTAATGGACAGAATTTCTACAAAGTATGTTTGTACTGTAAACTCGCTAACTTTTTTGGTCACATCCATAACACGTTTATTTTTCTCATTTAAAATATATACAATGTATACAGATAGATATTTTATCTGATCCCATAACTCTGTTCAGTAGTTTTGGAAAATATAAACAGATGTAATTTAATGTTAAGATACTTTATTAATGAATTTAAGTTTTGAGTTTTTGTTGCAAATGTCACATCCATAACGCTGGAATTGCTTGCCATTTTTTCAGAATAAAAATTTTTTTAATCTTCTATTAATCATCTAAAAGCAACTTTACGCATAGATTTTCAATTTTTAGTGATGGAAATCCTAAATTGTTTCAACATTCTGAACCGTTGTCCTTTTCAGCCAAAAAATATCTTGATGACATTTAAATGTTCATATATTTGAACCAAGTGTTAAGATGTAATTTTATTTTGTTTTTTAGCGTTCCACAAGCTGCCAAAGATCATTGTAAAATGCTACTTTTATGCTGAAATATTTATATTAAGTGAATGAAGCAATGCTTAACATTCATAGGAACCATTATTGAGCAGTTCCAGCGTTATGGATGTGGCATTTGCAGTAAAAACACATAAATTCACATAAAAATATATATGTTAACATTTATATTAAAACATCTGTTTATATTTTCCAACAACTAACTACAGAGTTATAGTATGAGAAAAAAAAATCTGTAAACATGTTTTGTACTTTAAATGAGGAAAATAAACATGCATTATGCATGTAACCATAAAAGTTAGTGAGTTTACAGTATAAAACATACTTTGTAGAAATTCTGGGAATTGAATTGCACAACCCATAAGAAACAATGCTAATCAAAAGGATAAGAGTTGGCTCTCTATAGAACAAACAAGATTTACTTTATTTTATTAAATAGTTTTGCATTTATGAGGGTAAAGCTTGGTTATGTGACTATCTATCTATCTATCTATCTATCTATCTATCTATCTATCTATCTATCTATCTGTATATATATATATATATATATATATATCATGTATATAAATATATATATCATGTATATAAATATATCTCATGTGACTTTGTTCAATCAAATACAATTGTTTTAAAAACATCAATAGACATTTGAGCATTTCTAAAGTACTGTAAAATACTTGCTTAATGCTTACACACAAAAAATGCAGCAACAGTTTCAGTGTTTTTGTAAAAATTGCTCCAATTAATAATTGAGCTGATCATGAATAATCATAAAAGAGCAGCAAATTGTCATAATAGAGTGATTGATTTCTAAAGTTTCATGTGACACTGGAGTAATGATGCTGGAAATTCAGTTTTGCATCACAGACAGGAATAAAGTGCATTTATAAATAACATTTAAATGTTTTTGTTTTTAATATCTTACAATAGTTGTTACATATATATATATATATATATATATATATATATATATATATATATATATATATAACACAACATATGTTATATTTTGATACAACCTTCATGGAAGCATTCGGATTGTTTATAAATATGCATGTACTTGCTAATGGATATTTAGGAGTCAGAAATGTCAGAAATATGATCAAATCTGTCATATTCTGATATACAGTATTAAGGGTTTCTGCAGGGCCTTAAAATGCCTCTCAAAATCCAAATTTTAGGCCTTAAAAGTCTTGAATTTAGTGAAATATTTTGTTGTAGGTCTTAAATCTTTTAAACGGGTCTTAATTTTCCTTTGTTCATGTATACCTACCCAGTCTGGCCAAAACTCATACAATCACCAACAATCCATCTCAATAAAACTATAAACTTTGTATATTATATACTATTATATATTTCATTTTTAACTCTGTTTATCTTAATGATTTAAATATTTTCCTTACAATAACATTTGTTTAAAGGTTCTTCATCTATTTACTGCCGAGGACACCGACAGATTGTTGTCCATAGATTTAAAGAAGGTTTATGTTGGGGAAAAATACAAGAGATTGCTTGTTTTTAAACAATATTTAAAATATTTAGCTTAGAAAAAAAATAATACATTTGAATAGTTCATTAATGTATTATTGTATTATTAAATGTACTGAACTATAGTTTTTTTTTTTTTTTTTTTTTTGAGAGGTCAAATAAAAAAAAATTCCATCTGGGCCATTTAAAAATTTCCTTAGACTTTAGTGCTTTGAGTCTTAAAAAGTCTTACATTTAACTCTGTGAAACCAGCAGAAACCCTGAGTACTAAAAAGATGAAATCATACTATCAAGATCCATTCATAATATATTGTGGTTGTGTTAAAAGAAGTGATTGCATTATATCTTTCATTTTAGCCTAAACTGTATAGATCAGTGATGGAGGATGTCATTGCTGAAGTCCGAGAGCTGTTTCTGGACGAGGGAGTGGATGAACAAGTCCTGATGGAGCTCAAAACGGTAAAATGATTTAACTTTAGATGACGTTATCCTGCCTCTCAGAGAGATGTTTGATTTTCATATGGGTCTCTGAGCAGTTGTGGGAGAGTAAGCTGATGCAGTCCAAGGCGGTGGATGGTTTTCACACAGAGGAGCAGCAGGTTCTGCATGCTCAACAGCAGCAGGCTCAAGCTCAGCAGACACAGCCACAAACCCAACCGCAGCAAGTCCTCCTGCCTCCTGCACAGACCAGTGAGGCAGAAACACGACTTCAATAACAATGATCTTTATGGTGACGAATGAGTTATTAATGCAGATTTTACTCTATTCTCAGCTCCTCAGCAGCAGGTCATTGTTCAGGATGCTAAGATTATGCAGCACATGAGTGCGACGGGGATGGTAAGTCACGTTTTAATGCTTAGCTTGTTTATTGTTTGTGTTTTTTTTTACATTGAAGTCCTCCAGAGGTGGATTTTTAATCTGGAATCTATTTTTAAAAGGGTCATGAATTGAGAATGGGCCCTTTTTCACATTTCCAGGTTTCTCAGTAGTGGAAATGCTCATAGTTTGGTGAACTCAGAGCGCAGTGACAGGAGAGTACAATATACCATTTTATTACAATACTGTTTGCTGAAATAACAAAAGAAAACCGCTGCGATGGTGTTAAAATCTTCAGAAAAAGGAAAAAAATAGTTTGAGACTGATAACAACAGCCAGAAGAGAGTACAACCCCGCCCCCATACACGCCTCGCACAGTTGGTAATTAGGGCTGTACGATTTAATAGAAATCATATCAAAATGGTGATTTGGACAAACATAATTTATTCCAATTAAATCCAATAACGCAGCACGCCTCTTAAACTATCTCTCTAAGAGTTCAGAGTTCATATTCAAGTGCTTCAATGAGGAAAAAGGAGCTTCAGTTGGAAAAAGCTACCTCACTGTTCAATGAAGCATTGTTTGAGCAACTCCATATAATCTCACTAGCAGCCACAATTACTCACTATTCAGAAATCTGCAACTTTCATTAAAAAAAATGGATTTGGCCCTTTAGCATCAGCTTTAATGGCAGCAGGAGAGCAGATGCGGAGGAGGGACGAGCCTTCCTGGAAAACTCGAACTGGAGACTACAAATTAGATTACTCTGCAGATTCCAGCAAGGATATTGTTCTCTCTCTCTCTCTCTCTATATATCTCTCTCCACACCTCTCTCTCTTTCTCTGATCATTAATGTATGTGTGTGTCCTCAATGGATTCAATTCTGGTTTCAATCTCTGGTTTCTCTAGAGTGCAGCGGCCACGGCAGCAACTCTGGCTTTACCCACAGGTGTAGCACCATTTCAGCAACTCATCACCCCTCAGGGTAAAACATTTACACACTCACCAGAAAAAAATAAAAAATTACCTTCATCTTACTTTAATTAAACCACATAGCTTAGCCCTTTTAACAGAACATGACAGGATGGCACACGTTTCAAAAGCTGCTGTCTATAGCTTTTGGTGCCAATCAGTACTGAAATTTAAAAAACAAATTTAGCTTATTGTAGTTTTTAAAGAGCTTATAAGTAGTGTTAAAAACATACGTGTGTATAAAACTTGGGTTGTTTGCTTGTTTGAGACGATATGCAAAATGTGACTAAGAAAAAAATAATAAATTTTTTTTGAGTAAAAATCTTTTCCACTAGACCAGCTGAGTCATAAGTCTAAAATATCATCCATAATGGTCATATAAAGGTTTAAAAGTCTCTTGGTGAAACCTGTTGAAACTCTGAATTTGAATGTTAGCTGGAAATTGATGTCTTAAAAATTTCACTACCAGTTGCTACTGAAATTCTAGTTTCATGATAGTATATGATTTGAGCTCAGCAATTACACTGGTAGTGCAATGTGAAGTAACATGCCTGACTAAAGTTTTAGTCATGTTTGTTTCTTCAACTTTATTGTTTAGGTCAAACATAGATGCTGAAGCCACAAAAAAAATATGAAAAGATGATTATTCTGCTTTTAACTACAATTCCAGCTTTCAAGCAAACATGACAAAAAATGGCTAACCATTTACTAACCCTTTACATATTCTAATCCAGTTTGAGTTATTTTTTTTCCTGTTGAACACACAAAATTATATTTAGAATGTTGTAAACCTGTAATCACTGACTTCCATAGTATTTTTGTTTTCCATACTATAGAAGTCAATGAATAGAGGTCTTCAACATTCTGTCCAACATGCCTTCCTTTTTCTTCCACCTTTAACTGCATGTTAACACTATAAATACAGATTTGTCCTAACAAAAGCATGTGTCTGGTGGCTTTACAGGTCAGATCCTGCAGGTGGTCAGAGCTGCCAATGGAGCTCAGTACATCATTCAGCCTCAGCAGCAGATGCTTTTACAGCAGCAGGTTCTGCCGCAGATGCAGCCTGGGGGTGTTCAGGCCCCTGTCATACAGCAGGTCTGTGCTTTATTCTGCACAAACACCACACTCACTTTCTCATCAATCTTTGACTTGCTCAACACAGGCTCCTTGGAAATGAAAGTTTTATCCTACATTTTTGAGAAATCACAAAAATGTCCTCAAACATCCGTTTGATCAAAAATTCTTGGTGACAAGATCACTACAGGGCAGTAAGACTGCAAAAACTTTACTTCCTTTTCACACTAATGGTATTCACGGACCGATTGTCAGTGATTAAAGGATCACTTGTATGCATTTTTTGCACACACCAAATAAATACCACAAAGCCACTTAATGTCTATGATTTCAACAATCAAAAATGTTTTCCTTGCCTGTTTAACTATATGTATAAAACTTTTCTGGTGTGGTCAGTTTGCTTGGAAACTCACTTTGTACAGTAGTGTATGCAGAGAGTTCTGTAAAGCACTGTTTCACAAAAAAAGATTAGAGCAATGTAAAATTAAGGTAAATTTTCTAACATTTACTTTTGACAAATAAAGGATTAAAGCAATGTAAAATCAAGGTAAACATCACTTATTGCTCTATTTTGACAAATAAAAGATTAAAGCAATGTAAAATTAAGGCAAACGGCACTTATTCTTACATTTACTTTTGACAAATAAAGGATTAAAGCAATGTAAAATCAAGGTAAACATCACTTATTGCTCTACTTTTGACAAATAAAAGATTAAAGTAATATAAAATCAAGATAAATAGCACTTATTTTTTACACTTTTGACAAAGATTAAAGCAATGTAAAATCAAGGTAAACAGCACTTATTGTTATTACACATGACAAATAAAGATTAAAGCAATGCAAAATCAAGGTAAACAGCACTTATTTTTATTACACTTTTGACAGAATAAAGCAATGTAAAATCTAGGTAAAACAGCACTTGTTGTTCTTACATTTACTTTTGAAACTATTATCTAGGATTAGGGAAGAGTTTAGGTTAGTGTTAAATAAGAAAGATGTTTAACTGAAATGTACAACAAAACGGGCCCTAATTAATGTCTATCTGATTCCCCAAAGTGTAGACAGCACCCTTTAGTGTATTTGTCATCTGAAACGTGCAATGAAATGTATGCAGAGCAACAACGTTTGTTTGGCAGGAATGTAGGCTAAGGCACATATTTCTAATGAGCCTGTGCAGTACTCACTTCTAGTTCAGTCACTGGAGGCTGCAGGGTTTACTGTGACAGCATGTGACCAGTGGGGTTTTGTTTCCCCGTGTCAGCAGTGGTCTTTAGCTAGCCAATGTTAGATGCCTGTCAGCTCTCTTAGTCGGTTTGAAAAAGGAAATAACAGAAATAATGGTGAACGCTTCGCAGGAAGAGAACCGATGTAGAGAAGAGACAACTAGTCTTACTTTGTTTAATAAAGATCTGATACACTGATTTAGTTTTTATTCTAATAAGTTTTTTATAAAATCTAACAATAAACTGTTAGTTAATATAAAGCAATGTTTTCTAGTCATTTTTAAATATTAATAGATAAATTAGGAATTTACTCATGACAACTATATTTACCTTCGACCCACTAGCCCAGGGGTGTCAAACTCAATTCCTGGAAGGCCGAAGCCCTGCACAGTTTAGTTCCAACCCTGTTCCAACACGCTTACCTGTAGGTTTCAAACAAGCCTGAAGGACTCAATTAGTTTGATCAGGTGTGTTTAATTAGGGTTGGAACTAAACTGTGCAGAGCTGCGGCCCTTTTGGAACTGAGTTGACACCTGTGCACTAGCCTCACTCAAATTAGCCTTTTTTGGCCCTACATTAGAAAAAGGTTTGGGCACCCTTGCTTTACACGATGACAATTAGTCAATAACAAATCCTTTTATTTGTTATGCTTGAAACTTGGGGGTTTTTCCACCAAATATGTTAGCAAAATATGTTGTCTAAAAATGATTAAAAATGTATATAACTTCTGAAAACACTGCATGTTTTATTTATTAGGGTGGGGTATGCACTAAAGAACATTATTTTAAATCTGTACGAAATGCCATCAGTAGTTTAAAGAATTAAAAAAGAAATACTCCATATTTAAACAAAACTTAAAGCTATATTTTTACCAAAATGTAAATGATCAATTTATTCACCCTCTGCTTGTTCATGAGCTTCTTTCTTCTGTTAAAACACAAAAAAAGATATTTTGAAGAATGCTGAAAACCTGTAACCATCGACTTCAATAGAATGTTTTTCCTACTATGGAAGTCAGTTTTTCATCATTCTTTAAAATATCAGCTGAAACTCAAAGGTTTGGAACCACTTGTGTATTAGTAAATATTAAGCAAAGTTACATTTTTGAGTGAACTGTCCGTTTAAAGGCATAAATCAGAGAAACAAAGTATTTCAAGTGGTCTTTTAGTTTAAATGATTAGACTTGTTCTACACCTCGATTTATGAGAACAGGAGTGTATTAAGTGTCTCTCTCTCTGTGTATTGATGCAGGTGTTGACTCCTCTTCAAGGAGGTCTTCCTCAGCAAACCGGAGTCATCATCCAGCCGCAGCAGATCGTCCTCACGGGGAATAAAGTACCGCAGAACACTCAGGTCAGCACAAGCTCTCACCTTAAACTAAAATCTCCGTGATGTCTGTGAAATTGATGTCTCACAAATACATTTCATTGAACATGTACACAGGCATCACCTATATCCTATATAACTGCAGTTTAGATATATAATAATTAACAGGTTTATAATATAATAAGTTTCACTGTTAAAAGCTTTTAGTTACTAATCAATTAGTGATTAGTAACTTATAAGGTAACTAATAACCTTTATTTTTCTGACTGTAATGCAGTAATGTACACCTTTTGCGAAGCTGCTTTGAAAAAATATTATTGTGAATGTCGCTATACAAATCAACTTCAATTTGAATTGAATCGTGTGTGCTTGTTTAGGTCATGCAGGCGGCAGCGATGGCAGTGCAGTCGGGACCGGGAGATGCACAGGTGCAAACTCAACCACAAGCGCAGCAGCAACAACAACAACAGCAGCAGCAGGCCTCGCAACAACCTCCTATGATGCTCCAGGTAGACGGCGCAGGAGACACGTCCTCAGAGGAGGATGAAGAGGAGGAGGACGAGTATGATGAAGATGAGGATGAAGACAAGGAGAAAGACGGCGGAGAGGACGGCCAAGTGGAGGAGGTGTGAATGAAGGCTTAGTAAATCTGCTTTTAGATGCCTTTTAGGCTGCATTTACACTGCATGGTTTAAGTGACCTAGTTGCGATTTTTATTTTTATTTTTTATTTTTCTCCCATGGGGCACAGATCAGATTTGGCCCATGTACACGTAAGCAAGACATAATCACATGGATTCTGATTTACTTAAATCAGATTCAGGCCTCTTCCATATGTGGAAATTTATCCAATATGAATCGGAGACCCGTTGGATTTTCACTTGTCAATGCGATCGGTGCATCATTAATAGCCACAGTGAATGAGGTTATCTCTGGTGCTCTTATTTCAGAACAGACTTCAGCAAAGAGAGAGCACAGGCGCAACATCTGCCACAAAAAAGATATATAAAAACTACTGCAAACATCACATGCATAAATTACGACATCGACATTACATTAAAATGCCAAATGATTTAAAAAAAAAAAAAAAGCCTAGGTTAAAAGAAAATGGCCAAATGAGAACTTTTTTTGTCATAGATTTTAGATTTTAACAAATTGACAAAAATAATTAAAGGAAAAATATATATACCCCGCGAACAGATCAAATAAAGGAATGGAGCAAGGGGTGCTCTTTCATTATCAGCTGTCAGTCAGTGCTCGTTTTTTTTTTTTTCCTTTCCTCCTGGTCATTGCGTCTTGTCATTGTGTACAGGGTAAATGCAGACAATCGAATATGAATCCCTTTTTTAAAAGATGACTTAAGCGGGTCCATCAAAAAAATCGGAGAGGTCACAAAATCGGAATTAACCAAGATCTGCAGTGTAAATGCAGCCTTAGTGTGCAATGTGTGAAGTTAAAGATCCCCTATTTTGCATTACTAAAGGTCATATTTTGGATTTGGGGTCTCCAACTACAGGCTGATATGCGTGCAAGGTCAAAAAACACTTTCATTGTCTTATAATATGCATTTATTTTTTACCTAATAATCCCAGCGACTCCCATATGAATCGTTCAGCAATTCATTTGTTTCCAAACCCCTCCTTAGCGCGAAGCTAATCTGCGGTGATTGACCCGATGACCCAGTCTGTTGCGTTTGGTCAACTGCGTTCAACACGAGACAGAGAAAAGAGGGCTCATTCAAACCTAAATAATAATGCAAGATATGACGCTCTCTTTAAAGAGCCCTTAACAACTTGTAAAAACACACAAAAATGATACATTTCGCTTTTCTTTTCTAATGGTATGATGCACGTAAATCTTTCAATTTTACATGGCGTCTAAAAATTGTGACAATAGAAAAGTAGTACGTTGGACAGGAAAAACACAATCTGTGAGAACGGCTCCTAGGTCAGATGCTAATAAATCTAGTGTAAAGAAAACGCAAAACCTTTCTAAGACCATTCAAGCAGTAGTGCTCTGTTCTCTTCAAGGCAAAAAAAGTGGCAAATTATGTTTATCCCGTACACTGCACAGAGTATCTAGTCGACCTTATCAGATTTTATTTCAGGAAACCCATGGCGTAGCCACATAACACTACATAACAAATTTCCCTCAACTAATCGAGAACTGAGACGTTCAGACTGCTGGTATCCAGCAATTCTTAAATAATTAAAATGTATTTATTTCTTTGAAATACCAAAAATGTACATAACTAAAATTAAGTATAAGGTTAACCGAATAAAAGGACAATGCAAAGATAAAAACATTCAGAATTCTTTATTAAACCATATTGCAATATTACTGTGATGCTGAAGTAACACAATTGCTGGGCACAGAGCCTCTGGATCTAAACCTGAACTCATCTGGTTTAGTCCAGTCATAATTTCTTTAAATAATCTGTCTTTATTTCAGGAGCCGTTAAACAGTGGTGATGATGTCAGTGATGAGGAAGATCAGGAGCTCTTCGACACAGAGAACGTAGTGGTTTGCCAGTATGACAAAGTGAGTGTTTGTTTATCACATATCTTTAATCTGTTTTGATAACTTGCACACATTTCTATTCTTACATTACTTAATTTAAGTGCAAAAACTATTAGAAAATCTATCAAATATTTGGCATATATGTTTATATATAAATTATAACCCTAAGTACTTAAAGCAGGGGTGTCAAACTCATTTTAGATCAGGGGCTGCATGGAGTAAAATCTGTTCTCAAGTGTGCCGGACCCCTGCGGGGGCCTCCTTTTAGAAATAGTACATTTTCATACGACTGAACTTGTCCAGAAATAACTTACAAAATGTGAACTAGTTACATTTCCTCGTAAGATCAGCTCAGTGTGCAGGGCTTCCCACAGGTTTAAAATATACTTGCAGTGGTAGCCTGATTGGAAAAAACCCTTTTCCCCACAGCACATAAATGGTCAACATCATGCGACAAACAAAAAATAATGTGCTTTTTAACTTGATTTTTATTTATAATGACACTGTCATACACCTTTTCTTTTCAGTGGGTTAAAGTTATTAAATTAATAAAACATGCAGCAAATGAGAAATTAATTTAAATAAATAAAATAGACATTATTGCAAAAAAAATAATAATAACTACTTGAATAAAAAGTGTAGATTATTTAAATAAGGTAAATTATTTGATTAACCATTTCTAGTGGTGTACAAATATTTTGCAGCCATTATAGATGGCATTTTGTTCTCTCCGAGTATAAAGTTTATCTGAGTCATTTATTATGTGATTAATCATTTAATGTTTCTCTCGCGGCTGTGCGCGCACATTCATTCAGCTGCGAAATGGTAATGCAAAAACGCATACAAATAATGACAACTTTAAAATGCGAAAGTAAAACCTGAATCCTGGACATTTTACGAGACTCAAATTATGGTCGGATGCATTTTGACGGAAAAGGCGCGTCTCAGTGGGTCTGCAGAGCATGTGAGTTTCTGACAGATTGCGCACACAGAGAACCAGCAGTAGGAAACGTGAAGAGCAGGGGAAGATTTTCCATTTTCAGGACCTGTTTTACATGTTTTAAATCTCTTTGACTTTCATTTTTCTGTTAAAAACAGAGGATTGTTTAAAAAAAGCTGGAAACCTGTAACTGTTGACTTCTATGTTTTTTTTTTTTTTAATGGTCAATGGTTATAGGTTTTCAGCTTTTTTCACTGTCATCTTTTGTGTTTAACACAAGAAACTCGAAAGGTGTACAGCCACTTTAAAGTGAGTTAAGTTTTTTTTTTTTTTTTTTTTTGAGTGAACTATCGCTGTCAACACTATGGCATATTACATTATTGGAAATGTTCAATTCACAAACTTTTGGATTGCATGATTTTATTAGCAAGATTAGTCATTGCACAGTGAAAAGTCTTTTTGCCCTTTTCTGTAAATATTGACAAATTTCTGATCCTCTGATTGTCAAATATGAGATAGAACTTCTATTTTGTCTTCAAAACAGCTTAATAATGATCATATTATTTGTTATATGACAGGTAATGGTGCTGCTGTTGTTGCTAGAAAGGATACTGCTGCGATCGGAAGTTAACGAGAAGTATTTATATTTATTAAATTCCGCATTGAGTTTATTAGCTAGATGGGATACAGCTGAGTATACTCTCATCAATATAGCGTAATCTAATACAATTGTATTTTATTAGATTATGCTATATTGAGTATCCTCTGCTGTAACCCATCTAGACTTCACCATGCTGCAGGAGAGGGTGAAGTCTAGATGGGATTCAGCTGTGTAAACTTGTTTCAATATAGCTTAATTTTGACACTGTACAACAAATACTATTTTACATTAACTTTACAAACTTTGAAGTTTGGGTCTAGGGTTGAGAGGGGTAGACGCTAATAAAATACAATTAATACATTGTGTGATTTGATAAATAATATTAACACTGCTCGTTAACTTCCGATCGCTGCTGGATTTGTCATGTTTATTAATAATTTTCTGCCAAGAAAATATTCTAGTAATGTAAACAGTTTGTATCTTAGGTGAATAAAGCACATTGTCTAGTTATATTGAAATATATTTATTATTGCCGTCTTCATAGACATCCACGTCTGTTTTACAAACTTTACATGGTTTGTTTTGCTTGTAATTATGTGTATTTGAATGTCTGAAACCTAAAAGAAATGTTATTTGTTTGAAAGCACAGGTAAATTGTGATTTATAATTAGTGCTGCGCTCCTTTTCCAGTGCCGTAGCACCCGCCATCAGATTTAAATTTTAGCAGTCACACCGGTGTGATCATACGCATGAAAGGGTTGAAATCACTGTCCAAAAATCCCTGAAATTTATTTTTGTTTTTCTTAATCTATGCTTCAGATTCACAGAAGTAAGAACAAGTGGAAATTTCACCTGAAGGATGGCATCATGAATCTGAACGGACGGGATTTTGTGTTCTCCAAAGCCATCGGAGACGCCGAGTGGTAAAAAGCGGGAAAGACAAGAGAACAAAAAACCCAAAAACTGTCTACTTTTTAAGGCAAGACACATCGAGACCTGAAACTGTACATTTCAGGAGATTCCCCACTTGGGGTGCTGAAGAGTAACGTCCCAATGCTACTGTGCTGTTTGAGTGATTTCTGCACACAAATAACTTGTGCCATCCATGAGATTTCTTTTTCTTTTGACCTTCTTTTTTAAAAAGACTACTCTTTTACCTGTAAAAAAAAAAAAAACTCAGTCCATAATATCTCCTTTCCAAAAACATCTACGCCCCCTCAGATGAAAATATTAGGCGCAGGGAGCCAATTTTAGCGTCAGACGCCATCTTAAGTAAACAGATATGTCAACAGCCTTTTCACAGCAAGGGTACGTGTTTGGTGATTTCCGTAAATCTGAATCCTGTGTAAAGCGAATCACTATTGGTCGCCTCATACAAACACTAAAACAATCCAGCAAGAGCTGCGTTCCAACAATTCCCATTAATAGATGCCATGTTTTTAGACCTTTGTATGTTCAGCAAAAGAGATACCAATGAAAGCAGGCAAGTTGAGCGCAAGTTGTCGATCTCACAAAGCTGTTTGCGTTTTTATGTCTGTCATGGGTTTTTCTAACTCTGCTCTGTCAGTCTGATGCATGTTTTTGGGAGTTGATGCATCACAGGGTGCTTTGGTGTGTTTTGTGTGCAATCTTCTGCGTTTGGTGTCTATGAAGTGCTCCATCAGGCCGCCCTTCCTACTTTCCTCCCAGTCAGGCTTATTTTACGCATTTCTAGTCGTTCGTATTTATTCCCGAAGCTCAGGCAGCGTTCATATTTCGGGGGGGAAAAGACACCGAACTGTGCTCTTAATGAAAGAAGTGCTCCTTTTTGGCCCTGAGGAGGATTTCCGCACGTGGTTCTGTGCATTGTGGAGTTACCCTAGGGTTTGTTTTAGTCCCTCCGTACTTGTTTTATCTTGCGTAGTCTGACTTTTTAAAGCCGTGCCCTCATACAGTTTGAAATTCGTAATGTTCTGTGTCTGAGGAAAATGCTTCAAGATTGTTCTACGACATGGTTTGGGGCTTTGTTCGTTTGGTGTAATTCATTGCTCCTTGTTTGTGCCTTTCAGATTTATTTTAGATATCAGGTCTTTTGTCTAAAGGGGAGAGAGAGCCTTTAACAAATCCTAAAAAAAACTGTACATTTTGCTTTGCTTTTCTAATGGCAAGTACTTCAGAGCTACTGTCTGGGTCACATGAGAGACGATGGTGTGTGTTCATATACTGTTTTACCAATCAAACTGATTCTCGTCTACTTTGAAGGTTGTGTTCATGTAAGTAGAGATCGTTAGCATTTTTTTGTTGAATCTAGTTTTATTTTTATTTTGCCTTTGCTGAACTTTATTAAAGCACTATTAAAATTGACTCTCTTCATTTTTGAGGTTCATCTTGCAACTCATCTTGAATGTTGCCTTGAGGTTTTGTATGCCTTGTTTTTCTTTAGTTGTGTGTTGGTAGTGGACCTGACTGAAGAAGACCCACTATGAATGATTTTTCGTTACATTGATTTTTATTTCATCCAAAGGACTTTGTTTAACCCATGAGGTTTATTGAAAATAATAGCCCAAGAGAGGTTTGGATGCAGTTAAACTAGTTTTATTATAATATATAATATATTTATTATAATATCCCCATTACTTTATTATAAAGGCGATGAATTAAATAAAAGGTATTAAATTTAGCCTAATAAAAAAAAAATTAAAGGCCAATTTTAATGATAGAAAATCTAACCAAATAATAAAAACAACTAACGGGCAGGGCAGCCCACAATCATCACCCTTCTCCTATCCTAGCACTCCAACAATAACACAGCAAATACAATGTCCAAAAAAAAGTACATGTAGAGATTAACAAATAATAAATTACCAAGGGTAATGGCAGGTTTTTATAAATACTTAGGATGGGATAATGCCAAAACAACAAACAAAATCTCTTAACTGATTAATGAAGCAACTTAATCAACTCTCCAAAATAAAATTAAAAAGAAAAACACAGGTCTTACCTTGCTCCCTCTCTACCAGAAACAGGAGAAAAATAAATATCAAACAAAAAGTGACATCCATATCAGTACTTCTCCAAAACATTGAAACAAAACCAAAAATTTAAAGTCAAATTTTCACTATATTGTTCATTAACATTAGGATTTTTAACCAGCCATAACCTGCTAGTGTTTGGCACAGTCTTTCTTTGTTCTCTACTGCCGCATGTCCCGGCCACTTAATTACCAACAGGTGAGAAAAAAGTAAGTGAGAGAGAGAAAACAAAAGCAACAACAACCCCCCACCCCCCTGTCTTTTTTGGAAGGACAGTGAGGAGTCCATTACAGTAATCCATCCTGCTGCTGATAAAAGCTTGAACAAGTTTCTCTAAGTCCTCACTGGAAACAAAGCACCTAATTCTTGCAATGTTTTTGAGATGATGGTATGCTGATTTATTTACTGCTTTGATATGACTACTAAAAAAACTATGTATTTAAAGGAGCACTCCACTTTTGGAAAATAAGCAAATTTTACAACTCCCTTTGAGTAAAATACCTAGATATCAAGCTGTGGACTGTACACCCACTGCAGCAGCAAAGTTCCTTGTTTATTATGCTAAAATGAGAGTATAATTCCATAGAATATATGAGTCTAATGCATTTATATATATATATATATATATATATATATATATATATATATATATATATATATATATATATATATATATATATATATATATATATATGGTATAAACAAAGGTCAGAGCCAGCTCCAAGTGGGCTGTACAAACCTAGAGTTTTTACTTATTTAATGACTTGTACATGACACAGAGTCCAATATTGTGCTTTATGAAAATCTACACATACCCCAACCTCACAGTAACCTGTTTTAATAATGTCTACTCCATCTACAATACCTATACCCAACCTACTTGTGGTGCAAGTCCTTCCCTCTTAAAGGTCACACAACCTACTTGCGGTGTAATGCTTTCCGATTGAATGTCTCCGGGCTGCAGTGATACCAACTTGCTTTTTTTCGGTAGAACAATGAACTACACCATTGTTTTACCAACCTTGAATCCCTTCATCTGATCTCTGGGTCTGACGGGAGCACTTTTAGCTTAGCTTAGCATAAATCATTGAATCGGATTAGACCATTAGCATCTCGCCCCAGAATTTTTTAAATTAATTTTATTATTTAATTTTTTTTATATTATTAATTTTTTTAAAGCTTTATTTATTTTTATTTTATTATTTTTTTTACATTGTGTACTAAGACAAAGTTAAAAGTTGCTATTTTCTAGGTTGATATAGCTAGAAGCTAAAGTCTCATTCTGGTAAAATAATCAAAACTTTGCTGCCAAACCATGTCTATAGCTGTCAAAATGACGCTACACAGTGTCTCCAAATAGTCCCCAGGTCACTTGGTATACAGTGCTACATGTAAAATCATTAATTCATTCATTCATGAGGAGAAAACCGGAGCACCCCGAAAAAAACAAACTCGAACACGGGAAGAACATGAAAACTCAACACAGAAATGCCTACTGACCCGCACCCGGCCGAGGCGAGAACCCATCAAGTTCTGAAACCACATTTGAGGAGATTCCCAATTTGGGGGACTGGCCGAATAATGTCCTAAATCTATTGTGCTTTGAGTAATTTCTGAACATGAAATGGTAAGCTGATTCTGACCTGCACTTTTAAAATATAAGAAAGTGATCACAATAAAGTTTAATAAGCTCTAAAAATAAAACGTACCAAATCCTGTTGTAAATAGTTACACATTTATTATATGAATATTTCAAAAGGACATTTATTCATTTTCCTTCAGTTCAGTTTCTTACTTTCCCAAGTAATTGGTAGTGGCTGGTAGGGCATCCACTGTGTAAAAAATATGCTGGATAAGTTGTTGATTCATTCCGCTGTGGTGACCCCATTAATAAAGGAACTAAGCTGAAAAGAAAATGGATGAAAGAATGGCAGGGCATCCGCTGCATAAAACATGCTGGATAAGTCAGCGATTTATTCTGCTCTGGCTACCCTGATTAATAAAGGGACTAAGCTGAGGAAAATTAAAGAACGAATAGTTCCTTATTCAGCAGGTGTCGTCACAGTGGAATGAACTGCCAACTATTCCCGCATATGTTTTACACAGCGGATCCCCTTCCAGCCACAACCCAGTACTGGAAAATATAAAAGGAGTGTAATGGAGTATTTAATAATCACAGTGTAGCACCAAAATACTCTTTACGCAGATTAAAGTTTATGGTATATTTGCTGTTATTGCACTAAATGACGTTTTAATGTGGTAAATAACGCTGTTACAGGTTTCCTGTTCCTCAATGACCTAAAAACGTATGCACACGTTTTTCCACCCCTTCAAATCACCAATCGTTGATATTTGACAAAAAAAATGTCTAGAAGCGAAAGTTGTTGGTTCTGTGCTTATTTGTTTCAGTTGAGCTTGTGTTACATCTACAACCAAAAATTACCCGAGTCAATTATTTATGTTCCTTACAACAGTAGTCCACAAGGTGGCGGTATTCCCCATAACAGTGGCTGAAATCATACTTATATTTACACAGACGAGAGATTGATGCCCTGTTTGGAGACTGCAGCAATGTTGTTGACGGGCCAAAAGTGGGCTAAAATCCAAGAACCATCAAGCGTGTACCGATAAACACTATGGTATTTCTCAGTGCCATCTCCTACCTGTGTTACCTTGTTTCGCAGGCACAACACAAATGCTTCATCTGCAGTAAAAACTCCCTCCATCGAGTTCCACTCCCGCTTCTCCTGAGTCAGCACTTTTTTCCGCTGCAGGTCGACAGTGTTGATTGAGCACCATATCAGCTCACGTCTCTCTCCCTTCCCATGAGTCCATCACTTTATGTTACTTTCTACCTCACATTTCCAATATGGGAACCACGTCCTATTACCTAAACACTCCCTTCTTCTGAGGTCACGATGGCACGCAGTGATTGTATATTCACCATCTGGCTCCACGTGCCTCATCAATCTTCACACGCACACACTCCATTAGGCGTGTAATGGAGAGGACAGCTGTGTTGATGCTTTGCTTTCATACGAATTTAACGCCTACAACAACAGTGGCGGATTATAATGTCTCCCACTCTCTTTAAAATAGGTTCGGTTTGTGTTTGCAGAAAGTACAGCAGTAGCTCTGAGCTTTTTATATTTATCACTATCGACACCCACTTTGCAGCTCTTCAGCGTCCCCTGACTCCTCGGCAGGTTGTTCACATGTAGCTACTGTACAGAGAGCGGTGTGTGTTCGTGTTGAAGTGTGTGTTTTTCCACATGGACGTCCAGAGAGTCCGGTCCTAGAGTATTATAAACACGCTGATAACAGTAGGGTTATGCAATGAGATGATTCAAGCTAGACAGACAATAGTCAAAAAGGTGTTATTCAAGATTCAATACTGCAGTGATTCTTTAGTTTGGGTTTTATAATTGTAGATGTAGCCTACATTTATTGGATATTTAGTGTATTTTTCTGTAAACACGATGCAAAAAATGCTTTTCTTACTTAACCCTACTAAAAAAAACCTGGTCGACCAGGCTGGTTTTAGAGGGGTTTTGGTCATTTCCAGGCTGGTTTCCAGCCATTTCCAGCCTGGTCTTAGCTGGTCAGGCTGGGAGATGACCAGCTTACACCAGCTTGACCAGCCTAGCCAGGCTGGGAGCCAAGCCCAAACCAGGTATATCCAGCTTTAACTAGGCTGGTCAAGCTGTTTTTAGCTGGATTTAGCTGGTCATACATTCTACGTCACTTCCGGGGTGTGGTACATTCCCTTTCCACAGGGAATCTGTAATTGTAAATTTGTTTCGGGATTTGTAAAAGTGTTTTGCGTCTTGTTAATTTGTTTTCTAAAATGTTAATTTGTTTCGTCCTTTGTAAAATTGTTTTACCTATGTAATTGTGTCTGATGATAGGTAAAAATGTTTTTCAAAATGTAAATTTGTCTCAAGCTTTGTAAAAGTGTTTCAAACTTTGTAATGTTGTTTTGCACTTCCCGGCCACCGTAAATAATGGGCCGAAAAATCTTTCACGCTACAGACTTCAGAGTGATAAGGGACTGATATAACCACAAGTGGCTGAGATGTGGTGTAGTTTGATGGAAGATTGCAGATAGCAGGGAGCAAGACCGCTGGCAGTACTGTAAGACAGAAACTGTGTGCCGAATTTCATCTAAAGTGCACTTGACCACTCTCTTGTTTCTTCTTAGAGGACATCAATACTGGTAGTGGATTAAATGGGCTGGGATAGGCGCCTCTATTTCAGGTGCTAACAGTAAGATCAGCCTTGGCTCGTACGCTGGTCAGTGACCTTGCGGCTTTAATGGCCTTAGATGGAGTG